TGACTCAAGTCTACACAATGCGGATCGCAATCAGGCACTGTGGAACCAACACAAGATAAGGGAATAGAAATAGAGATAGAAATAGAAAAGGATAGGTGAAATAAAGGAAAAGGAAAGGGAACCCCCGAGCGCAAAGGATAACGTAATCTGTGGTAAAAGGGAGCGTCTTGGGAAAGACGGACTTCGACCAAGGCGATATTCAACTCTGGCAACTCGGGTTGGATTGGGAAATAAAGGAAAAAGGAATGGGACCCCCGAGCGCTGAAGGATGCCGTAGGCTTAGGTAAAAGGGAGCGTCTTGGTAGAGACGGACTTCGACCAAGGCGACATTCAACTCCGGCAACTCGGGTTACCTTTACTGACTTGGTGGTCAGAGGGCAAAGGTATATATATCGCCCCGCCGGAGCCACTACAGTAGCTCTCGGCGCTAGATCCTAGATCTAATCTAATGTTAAATAACTAATATGCAACTAATTAAAATTAATAATTATAATAATAAAGTGAAATGATTTCCACTTTTGCTTGTCATACCCCATCATTTCCATTTCTTTTCACCCCCCTGTGCAGCCGTTTATTGCACTACAGATAGCTCCTGGTATTTAAGGTGATTCGAGGAGTGCAGAACGGTATTCTGCTTGAACCAGAACGCCTCATTCAAGTCCGAATGCCCCGTTCTGGATAAAACGTGGAATCCAATGGTGGGAAGAAGGCAGGAAAGTAGGAGTGTTCCAATAAAGTGCTTTCCGTTAGGTCCATTGCAGAAGTTCTCCTCGACTCGGTCCTGATAACTCGTCCTGTCTCTAATACGGCAGCAGTAACAATGTCGGAGGTTTCTTTGTACAACTTTTTAACGTAGCCAGACTTGGATCGTCTTTCACTCTCATTAGCGCAACCATGAAATATTTTTTGTTTGGTCCTGTGTGTGGACATGGCGGTACTGTCACTGGTCACAACCTTCGCGCGGGCAGAGCAATGAAGAGCAGACATGCTTTTAGCGACATGCTCGTCTTCTAAAACAAGGAGGTCAGTAACATGTATCACCATAGCACATGCAAAGTTGAACAGTACCGCCCGATTGTTGCGCGCATGAGAGTGATTGATAATGTGCAAGACGTGGGACTTGGACAGTCCCGCACCTCTCGCCAACTGTTCCAACCCAAGTCCATCGAGCAATTCCTTGCACAAGGCATACATTACCTGCTTCTCCGCATGAAAGTAGCCTGGAAAAGGCACTAACCATTCATGCAATTGTAGCTTTCCTCGTTTTAGGCCTGTATCTCCATGTACTGTTCTGTTCGAGGATGAACTACTCGCATCCCTATTTTTCCACCATGAATTCAACCACAAGTCACAGAACGTTTTGTAGGAAGGCTGGTCGCCACCGATAATAACAAATCGAGGGCGATTTTGCGTGCCTGGTTGCAATTGTTCCTCAATGATACCCAAGAATCTCCGCACAGTGAAAATATCCGCAGCACTGTCCCTGCTAATATCTACGTACACCACTTGTCGATCTAAAAGATCTTCATCCATGACATTTCTCCCACCGTGTGGTTTAAAGGCTGACAAAAGTAGTGTTCGAAAGTTCACCGGCCCTTTTCTCAACTCCGTCTCGAACTGATCTTGCACACGGGTATTGTACTCTCCATCTTTCACGTCACTCCCTCCCAGGAGAGCAGCCCTGTATAGAGATGACAATCCAAACACAATGTCATTGAATTGCTTAAGTATTTCCCCATGTTCCTCTTTGATAAAGTTACGAATGAACTGGTCCCTTGTCCCGAGCACCCTTACACTTTTCCATCCAGAAATGTCCCTCAACTTCGTTTTCGTTTTCTTCTGTTTGTTCCGTTCCGAAGCCGCAAAATCTCTCGATCTCTTCTTCGTAACACCTTGCAGCAACGAACCATTAACTTTTGGCATTGCTTTCCCATCTACTTTTACGGCGTGTAGAGGTTTTATATCCCAGTTATCGAACTGAAGGACAGGTATAGCAACAGGGTCTGAGGTCTGCCAATCCCGTGGGCCTGCTCTTTCTCTGTCAGCAATGGGTCTCAGTCGGTATTTTTCCGTAACATTGCATGACAGAAACACGCTCATAGCATTCAGAACAGACACGAATGACGGGCTTACCTCACAGATACCGCTAATCGATATCGAAATAGTCAGAGGACCCGCAGCAATGCCATTGATTCGCGAGTGAACCATCTGCTCTATCACCTTTAAAACCCGGATACACAAGAGTAGATCAGTCCGAGTATAGTCGGACGTAGAGTTGAGACATTGCTCAATTGAAGGATTCGGCAAGGCTTCAGCATTCCAAACAGGAAATACATTTTGAAGGGTTGTACCAACAGCTTTAGATTCCACAGACCAGGCGACTATGCGTCTGGTAGAAGCCATTTGTAGCACAACATCAGTCCATAGAGGCCCTGGAATAGCACCTACCTCAGACGACAAAGACCAGTCTCCGTTCCAGTATTTATCTTTTTGTGCCATGAAATGCTTGGAAACAGCATTCAAACGCGTTTTCAACTCTGAAGCGGATGGCCTTGTAACTTGAGATAGGTTTGGGGCCATGGACAGAGCGATAGAGCTTATCACCGTATCGAGGTTACTCAGGGAAATGTAAAATCCTAGCCGGTAGCTGAGTTTCTTCAAAATTATACCCTTTCCAGCCAGTACGAACTCAACTCTCTTCTGAAGAGTTCTGTTGTCGATATCATGCTTCGTTGTAGAGCTGTTATGCGTGTGAAAGTAGCAGAGCTCTTTTCGTAATTTCGAAACTTCAGAAAATCGCAATAATCGAATGGGAGATGCTCCGCTTGTATTAGACACGATGCACGATACCCTGAGCTTGTTGGCCAATACAGACATATATTTGATAGCCGCATCATTGAATAAGCTATTCTTTTCAGGTGTCGAATCATCTTGGAGAGAGTACATAATGCACCTTACTAGCTAACGATCGACAACACAGCCCATAGATCGAAGACAAACCTCGTCAACGGCACCTCTCTGTCCTTCAGTCACGATATACAGGCAGCTCCTGCAACAATTATTTCCCATGGCATCGAGCACAATGAACACGCCTTGCGAATGAAACAAGACATTCTCTTCGAAATCATAACAGTCTTCCAAGGAATGCAGATTATCTGTATCAAACAAAGGCACCTTCCAGTGCCTTTCATGGTTCCCCTTGTTGCTAAACAGACATCCTACTTTGCTAAAAAGCACAGTTCTAGCCCATTTCTCAGTTCCCAAAGCTTTCTGGAAGCCTTTTGAGCATAATTACTGTGGTTCAAATGATAATAGCACAGAAAAGCTTTTGATGGGTCTTCAATTAGATTGATTGCAATAGTTGGGTTACAACCTGACAAACGGCACATTTCCTTGACAAATTCGTTTTTAATTTGTCCAGAATCTCTTGTCAAATTGAAAAGAGTCCAGTCCTGACTTGGATTACGTCCTCGATAGCTTGGAGGTCCTGCGATTTCATTTTTAGAATAGGGCACATACTTGTCGTCGAGAGATTGACAAACATCACACAATCTTCCCACGCGTTTGCCAGCTCTAGGATCACACCTGGTCTTCCATGCCAGAAGAGCTCTCACAGATGATTTTCTATGCTTCCTGGGGTTACGCAGTACGTTACAACCAATCTTCCTATCGCGACAGTGAGTACGTAACAAACAACTTGATCTTTCAAGTCATTGAGCACGGAAAAATGGTTACGTAGGTGCCCAGTGTCTACAGTGTGCTCGCGCACGAATCTGATTTGGAGTCAACGTCACTGGAAGACTCGGTTTTTTCTCATGCGAGGTTTCGCAAGCGAAACAGGTGCGCGTTTGTCGTTGTCTGCCACCTGAAGGGTCCGGTACGACATTGCGCACAGAGTTCATTATTCCTTTGCACGGCCCCAAAAAGTTCTGGAGTGCAGCTCAACATTACTGCCAATGCTCCAGTCACGGTGATTCCGATGTCGCTTCTGAGAATACGGCTGAAAACGAGCGACGTAGTTGCGGTTTTGAAGTGAGAGCCAAAACCGCATCTGGCGATGGCGCGGCGGCGTGGGTCCAGATCACATATCATACCAAATTTTATCATACCTCGTGGCTTTGCGGAATAAAATCAGGGGGTCACTGACTGTCAAGTGCGATAAGGCATTGCTCACATCGCACTCCACAGTGTGGAGTCCACACCCAGACTCTCCAAAGACCCAAACAACCTTGCTAGCACTACAGCACTCGGTACGGCCCGCCTCTCCGTAATTTCACACTCGTCTTCTGCCACAATCATCCATCATAGCATCACTGGCAGACTGATTCTGTAGCTCTCCACCATAATGTATTGAATCGCAAGCATCACTAATAGAAGCTTCTGCCACAAGCTCGTTAGTCTCGATCTCAATCCATTCCTCCACATCTTTCCTGCAGAATTCTGCAGTTTCTGCAAGACCGTCTTCTGGCACCAGGCTCAGTCGGGAGTGAAACCCTACTGTACCATCCACCATAGATTTATCAATTTCTGTTTCATTTCGACCAACTTTCCGACCTGCAGCAGATGCCCAACCTCGATTTTCTGTGCAATCGTAAGGCGCGTACGCTTCGCTTTGGCGATCTTTTCAGGATTCATGTTAGGGTCTTTGAGTGAGGTGCCATCACGTCACCAATTGAGCTGAGGCGCATGAGGAGTGGCCGATGACGACGTCGTGCATGACACGTGGCAGAACCTGTGTCTGCCGGTTTTGGCGGCACTAATTCGAGGGTGGCAATAATGAAAGCGGCACTATTGCGCGTCCCCCCCTGTACCCAATAAAAAAGCAGATGCTCGTTGTATTGTACACGTGTACTGTACCCACTTTTCTGTCACGTTTCCGAAGGCGACGGCGGTAACACAGGAATCCTGTGGCAATCGCAGAGGTACGGGCGTCAACCTCGAATGGCTTTTACGTCACATCTTCTACCTGCTCATTTTTGTCTTAGTTGAGAGGAGCCAAAATGGTTAGCGCTGGAACGAAGCGCAAGAGGAGAGATCGCGGGAACCGCGTTGCGGCTGCAATTGAGGATGGTCGTATTCGCGGAGCAAGAGAGCGAAAGACACTTGGGAAAGTCATCTCTGCAAGTGTGCCCGACACTGAGCTGTTTGTCGAAGACCGCAGGGGGAAAGAAAAGGCGGAAGTGCAGCAAGAGCTGCTTGCGCAGGCTGCAGAGGACCGCCGTGCGGCGAAACGCGCCCGAAGAGCAGTACCGAAAGTGCGCAAATCCGAAGGCGCCCTCGGAAAAAGTGTGCCTATTGCCAGCACGTCAGACTTAGCTGGCAAGAGGAAAAAAAAGGGCCTCGGAATTGTGGAAGTGGAAATTTTGGCGAAGCGAAAGTTTGACAAGCCCCGTGGTCATGTCGGGAACCGGAGTGAAGTCATTCGTCAACAGAAGCTGCACAAAGATGGGATGGAGGACGTCTGGAATGGGGAGATGTCGCGGAAGGTGGCTGACGAAATCAGTCAAAACCGCAGACGTTTAGAAGGAAAGGTGAATGTGATTCACCGCTCTGCGCCCTCTGTCATTCACCCCGCACAGGGTATGAGCATTAATCCGACTCATGGAGACCACCAGGACAAGCTTGGAGAAGCTCTAGCTGACATCGTACGGAAGGACGATGATGACGAGTGGACTGCGACAAAGATGAAGTTCGATCCGGCTTTGCTGGCGGAAAGCACAGAAGGGGAGGTCCTTGGCACCGGTATGAAGGCTGCTTCTGATGCACCAGATGATAGCGAAAGCAGTGATGACGAGGATTCAATTATAAGAACTGTTCCGCAACGGAAGACAAGATCCCAGCGGCATAAAGAAGCTCGGAAACGTGAGATGGTATCGAACATTGCCAAGAAGAAGGCATCGGCGAGGCGAGTAGCAGAGCTTCAGAATGTCGATGAAATTGCCCGAGAAGCAAAGAAGCTAGCAGATAAGCTAAGCGGTGAGGAAAAGCTCCGGCAGTTGCGCGAGAACCCACCACCAGCAAAAAAGGTCCACGAACCTATTTTCGCAAAGGTGGCAGGTCAAAAGGTCCGCAATGAAACTGTTGTTGAACCAGTGACGTTGAGTGCCGAACTCTCCGAAAGTATGCGTCGTGTGAAAATGCCAATTGCGAACCCGTTGCTGAGGGATCGTTTTGTTAGTTTCGAACGCCGGGGCCTCATCGCGCCACCAAAAGTCCTTCCGAAAGAAATTTGGAGGATGGAGCAAGCAAAGAGACAAGATGAGCGTAAGGATAAACGGAAGAGGAAGGGTAGGGGCAGTCGGTCTAATATGACATTTTGGAGGAATGGAAAGAAAGCAATCTTGTAAAGGTCTCGTCCTATTTAGCAGTGGCAACTTCCTGTTTATGAATAACGTCCACGAGCCCCTTTTCGATACCACTGTCCAGGATACGTTCTGTACAAAAGAGAGTTGTTATTGGCACCTGCTCGATAAGATAGTTTTATCCTCGTTAAAGAATACACTTCTCACTGCAACGCAGAAACCCTAAATATGAAGCCCTACGCCCACTCCATGCAGGGCTGAAGCTTTTTTCCTATCTCTTCCACGCCTGGTCCCCGCCCAGGCATGTCATACGCAAGATGTGACGATTTGGCTCGTCGTTTGAATTCGGCTTGGAACGTATCTTCGAAACTGAGACCTGTGTAATCGGAGAGGACGCCTGGTGGTGCTGGAGGGTTCTTTCGGACATCCTTTGAAAACGACGTCACCAGTCTCGAAACAGCCGGAGAGATGTGGTCTGCTAGCACTTCCAGCTCCCATAACGAACTCTCGTCTGCCTTGCTTGCTTGAGGATCAAGTTCCTCATCATCGAAGGGGTCTTTAGTCGTGTCAGTCCGAGGACGTTTCTTGCCGACGGACCCAGTGGTATTAGTACCGTCAAAAAGGTTCACCGTCCGATGGACGATGTAGGAAACGTTGGGATGCTTGTACAGCAGGTCGACTGCGAGCCTGAGACACCAGAGGGCGCCCTCTGTAGGAGCCATGAGGGCCCGTCTGGTAAGCCGTTTTACGAAAGCGGCGACCATACCCCCGGGAAGCATGGCGCCTTGGCGCAAAAACAATGCAGACAGTTCTAAGAATCTCTTCCTCCCATTCGCATAAAACAATGCATCTGGTGACATGAGTGCATATAGTTTTGGGTAAAACAAGGGGTAATCCAATCCGTGTTTCGATATCAAAACAAACAACCCGTCTAACGCAGTTGTTGCCACGGAGACATCCTTTCCATTGTTATATGAATCGTTCAAAAAATCAGCTAGCACCAAGGGGTCTGACATATTGGGAATAAGCTCGGTGGGAACCCGCTCGAGAATATCGCGGCGGTGTTCTGATGACAAACTCTTGTCCGCTACCAATGACACCCACGCTGCTCCAAAAGCCTTTCGAAGATCCTTGTCCGTAACCTTCACATCCGATTTTCTCGCTGCTTTCTGCTCAGTAGGGCCTGCACAATAGCGCATCACTTCTAAACGCATGTCCAAATCCCCAGCTCTCGCTTTCACCAGATGCATCGCAGTCAATCTCAAATCCCCAAAACGTTTTACAAAGCAATCCAGAATGACGTCTTTCTGTGTCTTTTCCGCTTTCCCTTCCATTGCGCATTTCAGAAACGTGGACCAGATTGTTGCATGTGTAAGTGCGGCGCCCGTAATGGCAGTCTCCTTTTCCAGCTCGGATGCCGCAGCGGAAGCGAGTATAGCAATGAGAGCGGAAGCGTAATCTGCACGACGCTCTTGCGTCCATTTGCGAAGAACATCTTCTAGTGCCGCAAGTTTTTCTAGTGCAGTCAGTATACGACGACTAGCATGAATTGCTCTGGTGCAGCCTGGATCACCAGGTGTAACATGCTTGAGAATTTCAACTAAGTTGTTCGCATGTTTCACACCTTCCGCATGAAAACTCTTCTCAAGGGCACGAATGCGCTCCGTAGTAGAGACAAAGGCACTTTGGCTGACCATTTCTCAGCTACAAAAGCGGTTCGTTTAAAAGAAAAGCTGTGTTGTTTACGCAAGTCGGTCCGAATCATTGTCCCAGCAACACAAACATGCCGTCGGCGCACAAATGAGCCGCAACTTTTCCGACTGCTTTACAGCGTATCATACTCCTGAGATCGAGCATGATAATTCTGGGCTGTACAATGCATGTGAAGTGGGTATGATAAACATTTGTTCAACCAATCATAATCCTCTTCTGCATTTCGGTACAGTACAGGGTACAGCATTCATTTCTACCAGTGACGAATCGGCAGGCCACGTCGCAGAGGCAATTGCGAAGCCAAGGCAATAGACTCTGGACCTGAATGGTTCTGGAGCAAAGCACAAGAAGCAGGTGCACCACCAATTTTTATATTGAGCTTCACAGTTACAAATTCCACGAACATTTCTATACTTCTGCCATATCTGCTATTTTATCTTCAAACCATGAAGAGTAGGATATGATCCCAAGAAAACTTTGGAAGGCCTGATGATTGACTAATGTTTTAATTACTTGTCTCAAAAAATGAAACCCACATGGAAAGTTTGATTTATCAGCAACTTGTGTGGTTTAGATAATTTTTATTGAGTAATGATTTGTGGAACTCAGAGCAGAGTGTTTGTAAGACTTTAAATAGGAATTGCAATTGCATTTCAACACCAGCACAGAGGCTTCGTAGCTCAGTGGTTTCAATGGCTGGGTCAGTATCCACAGTTCCAGAGGTTGCAAGTTCGAACCTGGTTCGGAGTATCGTGAAGAGCGGCAATACCATGTGACTATACGTTACATGTGCATGTGTGCGAACCGAACCGACTGGGGATGCCCTTCAATAAACTTTTTATTTTTTTTATTTTTTTACTGCATGTTCTTAGAAACTCCTAATCCTCGGGGAGAGGAGACTACATATGTTCGAACATTTTCTCCATCTCGTTGCATAGCTTTTTTCATTCTCTCTCTAATATGAAACTCATTGCATGAAGAGGGTTCGGTATTTTTATTGTTGTATAATAACTACATCTAGTAAACTATACTGCTCTTCTTTTGCATGTGGAAATGCCCTATGGATTTAACGTATTCTCCCAACTATTGAGAGGTATAGGATATAGCTAGATGGAATCAGTAGAGTCGTTTGCAGTCGGGGACCTGGAAAAGGTTGCGACCACAGGGTTATATAGAAGTAATATGTGACGAGGAAAAGTGTTGAGCGTAAAAATCCTCGTTGCACGAGTCGTTTACTTGTCGTGTCTCCTCCTCCTCTCTCCTTCTCTCGGAGTCGTCGTGAGGACTAAGTACTGTAGAGTGAAGGAGAACTCCGTAGGAGAGTTTGGACTAAAAATGACGGAGAGAGATGCATACGAAATCATGCTGTATGACATCTGACTAATGCTTTCGTGGCGGAACACCACAGTGTTACATAATAACTAGTATGAATCATACAACTGTACGTGTGAAACGACGAGCTATCGGCATCTCAAGTGCTTAAATATTTTCTGGTTCCTTACTAATGGGTGAAGGTTTCTGAGAAACCTTCACCTCCAAAGAGATAGTCATAAGAGTTTATTTATCTCTGCAGCGATAAAAAGACTTTTCGAGATCCCGAAAGAACCAGACTGGGGAAAACAAGACACTGTTACAACTGCTTTTTATAGAATGCTGTACTAGAGATACCGAAAAACGTGAAAGGATATGAAGATAAGCGGCAGACAATAACATCCAGAGTGTACTAATGCAAGTTTTTTTTGTTAGCTCTTTACAGCATTGCATGTGAATTCAATGCAGATTTCACACCGCCATTGATACAAAATGGTACGGTGAAGCTTGTGTTTAGAGACAGCATTAGGTGAGCGATTTAAAGTATTCCGAAGAATAGAGAGCTCGTTTTGCAGATAGATATTTGAACGGAAAATCAATTCATAGCTTTTTATGAAACTGCTTTCGGTATGTCTTCACCAGTTATGTCGTAGAATAGCTCCCAGCTAGAGAGTGGTTGCAGTTTTCGAACCTTCTGGCGTGGTAAATTTAGACGTACTGTTTTACTTTCTCGGCTTCTACTTTTGCTTTTGGCTTCCATGGAGGAGGAAAGCTGCAAAAATTGACAGCATCTATAAAAGGAAGTGCAGAAGAGCCGGCTAAAAAGAGACGTACTGTGCTAAATTCCCTCACTGTGACAACTATGGATGGGCAGACTCTTTATTGCGAACTAATGGGGGAAGCATCGACGAGAACTAGTTCATGCCACGTAGTGTCGGTCATGTTTATGGAAAGGACTTTACATGGTACGGTTTCTGGTGTAGCATGTTTCTTTTTCACATCGCTGGGTTCGTTTGGCTTGATTCGTCGTCTACTGTAAAACGTACGGCGCATTTCTGACCAGATGCGAAGCAGTGTACCCTATCAGCACCACGTCTGATGTTATTGCCACACACAAAGTACAGTGCAGTGTATGAACGCAGTGTATGAACATACTGTAAGGGGCGCTTGCCTTGAGACTCTCATCTCCAATACTGTGGGCGCTTGCCTTGAAACTCTCATCTCCAATACTGTATGCTTTCTTTCTTATGAGATAGAGAGGCGTACCGGACCGTAAGCAAGCATTCAGGAGTCTAGGAAGCGGGATGGCGGACTTTCAGGTTTCATCCAGGTCTCGTGTAAATGCAGCCAGACCGGGGTGTCACCGGTGGCTACCAGTGCAGTGGAGACGCGGGCAGTAATCTCCGGGCCTTGGTCTTTCTTGGTGCGTTGCCATTCCTCATATGTGACGAGGGCATGTCCTGGAAAAGTCTGGCGGATGACGACGTTTTGGATGGCAATCTCAAGGCTAGGGCTCGTGTTGTGTGCGTTTCTGAGATTGCCGGTCAGATCTGGCAGGGATGCGATCGTGCCTGATGGGGGAATCATGGTGAACTCCAGCGCCAATCGAGGAAGGAAAGCGGAATCGAAGGTATTCTTCGACAGGGTACCGTTGAACCAGCCCTCAAAGAAAGTGTGTAGGGCTTCGATTTCGTGGGTCAGTGCCGCGCACAGCGTTGTCTTGGCGGACATGACGAGGCGGTATTCGGGTCAGGGGTTGGCTCCCACGGTGCGAGGGTTTAAACGAGAGGCCAGCAAGAATGAATCGGGGTGAGATCTGCAAGTTGGGGTGAGATCTGTGTAGGAGACCGATGACTCCTCGTTTACTCGTCGTCGCTCGTTGGTTATAAGTCTGTTCCCTGCGGGACAGACCGTCCTGTGCGGTCTGACAATCTGCAAGTTGGGGCGCCAGGCACGTACCGGCAAGGTCGGTCGCACCGCACCGTGAGTCGGAGACCCGGAGAAGGAAGTGGACTTGTCCTTGCCGGGGACGACACGTGTAAAAGTGGTGTATTGCAAGATGTGTATGGGGATGGGGAAGGCGCGCAGAAGGAGTGAATTTGCTTGGCTGGCCCTTCTGATTGGCTGTTTGGGTGAGGCTGTCTTCCGCCCCCGCGTAGGCATACAGTAGGGTACAAGTGTCGCATCCCTGGCGTCACTGATTGGCTTCGTTTTGCGTAAGGGCCGAGGGAGTGTACCGTGCTGTATTCCTGCACCAACCATCCTTCGTCAGCAGCGCCCCCCCACCTCCCCTGCCTCTTTGCTTCGTTTCCGTAGTCGCTTCGGAAGATTCCGCACGTATATATGCAACGCATCTCGTTTCGTTGCCATGTCTCTTGCAAAGGTATCTCTACCTTCTGCACCCCGCTGGCAAGTAATCACTCAGGTCTGCCTTGTGTCGGTTTCCCAAAGTCAACATGGCTGCCGTGGCACCGTCGTCAATGCTGAACATCGAAGGCTTCACTGCGACCGGTGACTACGCTCGCACTATCCACCTGACAGGTGCAGATGGTATGGAAGCAGCCATTCTCACCCGAGGCTGCCGCGTCCTAGATTTGCGCTTGCGCGATGGCCGCTCCATGGTTCTGCCGGTCTCGACGCTTGCGGAGGTGGAGGCGGATGAAAGCTATATAAACGTCGCAGTTGGTCGCACAGCGAATCGCATCGAGGGCGGGAAGTTTGCTCTGGACGGTAAGGAGGTCATCTTGCAGTGCAACGAGAATGGTCAAAACCAGCTTCATGGAGGGACAGTTGGCTGGGATAAGAAGCTGTTTGCGGTTCGCGACCAGGGTCTGAACTATGTTGAATTGTTTCTAGTTTCACCGGACCTGGATCAAGGCTTCCCGTCTTCGGTGGAGGTTTCTATCAGGTATGAGCTTGACGGAACGGGCGGATTTACCGTTACGATGTCTACTTCAAACGTTGGCAAGGAAGCGACTGTGACCAATATGACGGTATGTCCTACGCGTGCGTCATGTTTTATCTGCACCCGCGCTACGCTCGGTTTATGTTTACATCAGGACACCTAACACGTTCGCGTTTCTCACCAATCCTCACGTATACGGACGGCCTTTTCTGTACCCGTTCCGCAGCTCCATCCGTATCTTGATTTATCAGGTCAGCTCGGCCAGGCCAGGGATTCTGTCCTAGAATACGAGATGGAAGCCCCACGTTGTACCTGCCATCTTGTCCTGAATGACAAAAACGTGCCCACCGGAGATATCGCCTTTGTGAAAGGAACTCCGTTTGATTTTTGCCAAGGCAAGAAAATTTCACAGGATATGCCATCGTCGGGGTATGACAACTATTTTGTTGCGAGCGACCAAGATACACTGAACGGTCCCGTGCTGCCCCTGTTGACAATAACCGCGCCAGCCGGAGAGCACGGGCCTGCAGTCACAATGGAGGTCATAAGCAACCAACCGGGATTTCAGATGTACACTGCAAATGGCTTCAGTGGTGACGGGGCTGGCAGCTTCGAGAAACATGGAAGTATTGCAATTGAACCAAGTGGCTATATCGATGCCACCAATCACGTGAATTTCCCTACTGCCACGCTAAATCCTCACGAGACAAGGAAGCAGGTAATCACCTACCATTTCACAACCCTTTCCACCTAGACGTCAAAAATGGAAAAATGCCTTGAAGCGCAACCGAGTGTCTGCCTATATTGGAGCTAAGCGTTTTAGGCTGAGTGAGGGCGGTCTCGTAAATATCCTTGTGGTTGGGCCTGAACGCCAACGACTCTTTTTGCAGGTGAATCGGGCTCATTAATTGTGGAATATATATGCTAAGCCGGGGGAGAGCAATGGTGTTCTTTGTCCAACATTGGGAGGGGGCTGTGAGAGCTCATGCCATCGGCCAACTATTATCGACGATACTGTCAGTCTCCGTGGCACATGTCCTCTGCGGATCCCTGCTTCCAGTGCAACGATTCACGAATGAAGGAGGCTCTCTCAAGTTTTGATATGGAACCTCCTTGCAGCTTCGGAAAAAGCACGCCATAAGATTGGCTTCCATTGAGAATGTCGTCTATCAAAATTGAAGCTCTTTTGCTTGTACTGTTTCCAAGTCTGGCAAGGCCATGTGAAGAACATAATGGATGGGGATTACAAAATACCACAAAGTGGCCCAATAACCTGTTGAGACTAAGCAACACCGCGCGGGTGCTATGGTTGACTTTCGAGGTTGTTTACCTCATTCAGAGGTTCTCTGGCATGCTTTGTGGTGACAAGGACTGTGTTGACAACCCTATCCCCGATTCGAGTTGTCTGAGATAAGCTCTGGACGTCCTCATCCTCTTGTTCAGCCCTCCCATGGTAAAGATGATTGATATAGACATACGAAAAGAAGGGGTGGGCAGCCATGTTGCTACCTGGTGCGCCGTCATGTGGAGCGGAATTGCGGGGAATTTCCGGCTCAGGGGGCTCGTCAGACTCGGGAAGTTCAGGTGGAAGGTCTTCTTGGGGGAGAATAGTGAGGGTTCTTGCTTGCAAATGTGGCGGCAGAACGGGGGGGTCAGCAGGGAAATCAGCACAGGGATTCTGTTTGTACGAACTAAGAGGACTGAGTGGCTTGTTCTCAAGCAATGGGGCGGCAGAGTCGAAGTGAGGGTCCTTATCGGTAACTTTGATGATGTTGTTTGTGTTGCCGTACTCATCTGTGCGTGTTGGGAGGTCGGGTGCGCATTGCCAGTTGTCATCGACATAGAACTTGCATTGGAACTCGCCAGTGGGAATGTAGAGTAATGCGAGATGGTCTCGGCCGTTGCGATAGAGCGGAGCCTTACGACGCCAACCATCCCATGCGCCGGCAACATAGACGAGTTGACCTGGGAACTTCCAGTTGAAAACTGTAGGGATAAGGGTATCAGAATCACTGTCGTCACCGGGTGGGACGCGTTGCGAGGAAGCAGATTCGCGGTTGCGTCGTCTCGGTGGGGATGCGGAGAGCTGAGAAGAGGCGCGGGACGCGGATGATTGAGAGGAGTTCATCAAGTCTGGGGCTGACTGGCGACGATTGGGGATGCGAGCGCCAGGAGAGGATGGGGTCGGGGGATTGTCTATGACATGGCGTGTGGCTGCGGGGGTTGTGGGGGAGGAAGCGGGCGTTGAGCGAGTCGCGGACGGAGCGGAGGCTGATGGTGCGGAGGGAGTTGCGCGTGTGGAGAGCCCACTAACGGCCATGATTAATGGGAGGGGAGCGAGTGAGTGGTGGGAGGAGTAGGGGGGGGGGAGCGGGGAGTGGGGGATGGGGAAGGAGGGGAAGAGATGGAAGGGTCAGGGGGGCGGCGGGGGGAAGGGAAGACGAGGTGAGCAGTACCGCAGTGGGGGCGAAGATGTGTTGTTGGTGACGTCAAGCGGTGCGAGTGGCTCGGAGGCGGGCTCCCAAGCCGCACACAGCCCACAGGTCGTGCATCCGCCAGATGCGGTCCCCCTTGTGAGAGAGCAACCAACCTCATCGGAGCCATTGCATTACAGATGCCACAGTGGCGCACCACCTCAACTTTATCATTTACAGTCCCATTCCACATTCCCTCTTCCATCTCACACGTGTCAGCGCATTCCTCTTCCTCGTTACAGGCGACTCCCTCAATTAGTGCACCCCCGTGCCATGCGCATTCTATGTGCACTATCTTCAATGTGCATTATCTAAGGGGCTCGCTAAAAAGTAGTTTACGGGGCAACGAAATGTTCCGTTACCAGCGTCTGCCGTCGCTGACGCTTCGTGTGTTCATTATAGACACGGCTCAACGCTCGCTTAGCAAGACGTAAATGATAGGACGCCTCCGTAACACGCACCTCCTCACAATATCGCTCTGCCTGCGCAAAGGCCTGTGAAAGTCGCCGCAGCACCTCCTCTTTTTGCGAAAGGGTAAGGCGGGTTCTTGACGCCCTGGATGCTGGTTCAGTTGTGCTCATTGTGTGATTAGTTGTTCGAAGATGCATAAGGTTGCTGGGATCTGTAAAAGAATGGAACCCGCTCTCTACGGACGGCGACGACCATTGTGCTCGCGTGAACATACGTGTACACCTGTACAAAGTCGTGCCAAGCTATCAGAGGGTGCATTAAAGTCCAATGTGCACTAACTAAAAGTGCACTAATTAAGAGACCCCCCCTGTATTGATAACGGATATCAGTTATCACCTTCCCTGCCTTCCGCTTCCTCTCCCTGTCGTCCGAGCCCTCCCGTCGATCACCTCTCCGACCTCCGATGCCGCCCGATCCAGCCTCCTCGCCAGCTGTGGATATGCAGCCATCCTCCCGTCCCTCTCGGCCTCTCTCCTCACGCGCCTCCCTCATCCGCCGCTACAAATGGGACATCCTAACCCCCGCGGAGCGAACCGCCGTATCTGACGCCCTGGGCCTCGCCGCCACTCGTGCCTCCGTCGGCGTCGCAGCAGTCCTCACCACTACCGCCATCATCACAACCGGTACGTCCCTCCTCTCCCCCTTCGTACCCCCTCTGCTTCATTCTGCAGAACGCATCTAACCCCGTCTTGCAGCCCGCCGCGGAAAGCCCCCACTGCCGGCCTACGCCCGCTTCCTGGGCCCCACCTTCTTCTCCTTCGTCGCTGCCTACCTTGGGGTGCTTTCCGGCGGCCCGCTCTACGCGCGCCGCATCCTCGCGCTGCCGGACTCGAGACTTGCCGAGGACCTGCGCGTCGTCATTGGCGATTGGCAGGCCCGCGTGCCGACCACCCCCCATTATGAATTAAGCGAGGTCGCGCCGAATGAGCCCCCACCTGGTTTGGGTGAGCCGCCGAAGCGGATCCCGATCGAGGAGCGCTTGGCGAAGAGCCGCGCGAGGGAAGGTACCCCAGAGGCCAAGGAGGAGAGGAAGAGCTTCACTTATTGGCTTGGATTGACCAAGTCTTAGCACGTTTTCCTGGTTTCTGTTAACCTCATCGCGGGAATTTGACATGAGGTCGAGTTTATTTATGATATCAGCATTGCTCCTACCTCCGCGGTGCCCATCCCCACCGCTCTAACTAAAGTACGTCGACAGCATCCGAGTCATCGACCGACGCTCTGGCGCTTTGCAGCTGCCGTTGTGTGAGCTCTGTCCCAAAGTCCCTCTTCAACTTGCCTGCCGAAATCTTGTGCTGGCACCCGACAACCGGGCATCTCGTCTCGTACTCAGCCGGCACGAGATCCAGTGTCTTCGGAAACCTGCGTTCATCCATGACGCGCTGCTCCTGATACAATGCCGAGATAACGCCGGCCAAGCTGTACACATGCCCGCACACGGTGCTCTTGACAGGCTTCTCGATGTCCTGGTTGAGCACGGGGCAGCGCAGCGTGCGCGATGCAGCGCCCACGGCCTCCTCGATTTCCAAGTCCTCGTCGCCGCTGCGCGCGAGGCGGTCGATCAATTTCTGAACGCGCACGACCTCGGGCGCGCGCGTGTACGACGAGCGCTGCCCTTGCTGCTCCGCGGACTCCACGCCCGAGTCGTACAGGCCGAGCAAGTCGCTGATCGGCTCGCCGCTTTGTAGTTCCATGTTCAGCTGCCGCGCCATCTCGCCGCACGCCGCACTGCGGCCCTTCGCTTCTGCGCCCACGATCGCGATGTCGCGGGCGGCCTCCTTGAGGGTTTCAAGCTACGCGATGGAAAAGTGGTCAGCGGGTGAAGGCCGTGCGATGTGGACACGAGTGCGAGGCGTGAGGGAAGCGATGACCTACCCGTTGTATTCTTTCTTCGGCAGATAGTTTCTCGTTGACAGAGACGAGCTGCGATATGTGCGCAAGGGAGGCGTCCAGGATGCCGAGCATGTCTTCGAATTTTCGCCAGCGCCCAGCCTCCCGCTGGAACTCGTTTGCCATTACAGAGGTGGAAGCCCAGCGCTAGAAACTTTCCGATTGAGCACTTGAAGCGCTATCTAAGGTAAGCGGTACCGGGGCAGACGGCTCGGGGTTGTCTTGGGTGCCAACAAGAAGGCGCGGGGGACTGGTGCTTCCCGCCAAACTTTCGCAATGAAGAGGTTGCGGTGCAGCCAGCGTTTGGTTGGTAGATTTTTGGGGATTACATACGTACGGCACAGCACCCTGTACAGTACCCTTGGTACTGTATGGGCAATGTCCCTACGATTTTTAGGATCAACTCAACGGCTTTGTTCTGGGCGTGGATTGGCGCGATTCTCTCCCCACTAGCATTGTCCCCCAACTGCTTGATCTCCGATACGTTCTCTGGGAGCATTGAGTCCGTCCACCGTGGCCCCCTCGCACCTGACTCGCCATCGCAAACGAAATGCATCCCCACTTCATCGTCCATCCACCGGTGCTGCCCACCCTTCGCAAAGCGTCGGCCAGTCCGTCTCGCCGCCCCGCAGCATGCAAAACAGAGCCACTCCCGTCTGCTAGGAAGAAACGTGTCCAATTACTCCCTCCCCCCTCGGAGACGCCCGCGCTTCTGCGCAAGCCAGAAGCCGTAATCGTCGCCACAGCCGCCGGGCTCTTTATGCTGGCGGACTCGGCGCTCCGCTCAGTCCGCATCGCCTTCGCCTCCATCGCGGCGCGAACGGCGATACTTGGCGAGGCGCGCCGAAACGAGCTGTGGCGGGAGAAGCGCCGCCGCGAGTGCGAGTTTCTAGAGTCTGCCGTGACCGCCACTGAGGCGACTCTGGAGAACACCACGACGTTTCTGACCGCGCAGAGGGTGCGGGCCGACGCCGCAGAGAAGACACTGGAGAAAATTGCAGCCCGCAGACAGCAGCTTGATGAGGCGGCGAGAGAGCTCAGGGAAAGGAAGAAGGAAATGATGGAGAAAGAAAGTGAGCTGGAAGAGGAAAGAAGGAAGCGCGGGGTCAAGGATGCGGTGCTGATAGAAATGGAGGCAGAGATGCAGAAGGGGAGAGAGGGGGTGGCGGCACTGGAGAAGCTGGCGAGGAGGGAGAGGGACCTGTTGAAGGAAGCAGGGATCGCACAGAGAAAGAAACTGGAAGGGGCACAGAGGGAAACTTCGAGGCTTGAGACTTTGCTTTTTGAAAAGAGGTCACAGCTGGAACGGGAGCGTGCGGAGAGAGAGCTTTATTTTCAGAGGCATATCGAAGCTGAGCGTACATTGGAGGTTGCAAGTGGAAGTTTAGAGGTAGCTGTTTCGGATTTGGAGAACAGAAGGAAATGCATTGAAGATATGGAAGCAGAAGCAAGGTTAGTAGAAACTCAAGCAAAAAGGAAACAAGAGGGGATCAACGCTGTTTTGATGGGCGATGTTGGCGTGGATGAGATCAAGCGCTCTATTGCGACAGTTAAACAGCGACAGGAAGTGTATGCAGAAGCGATGAAAGCCGGCAGCGAGACCTACGAAGCTAAATTGAGTGAAATCAGTGAAATGAAGGCCCTCCTCGAGAAACGAGACGCTCAACTGCAACAGCTCCGTGTCAAAATGCAGGGTAACGTAGCCCGAGGTGCCTCGCAGTCTAAGAAGAAGGTGATTGGAGTATCGCAAATAGCGGAAGAAAAGAAAGAAGCTGTGTCCAAAGCAGCAAAAAGCATATTATTTACAGCGAATGGCGACACTTCCAAATCCGGTGATGCCGAAACTAATCAAGGTAGCGTAGACATCGACATGGATGCTACACAGCTCCTGTTATCATCAACCGTGATTCGAAGCGATGCAAAGGATCAGGGCGTAGCGGCGGTTGTCGGAACAACTGCGTTGGCTGTTGATACAGGACGACATCGCCGCCAATCGCAGGAAAACGGAATCGAGCTAGCGCAAGTTGTCGAAAACGCAAGGAGTTCCGCAGTTCCTGCGAAGTCTGAGAGTCCGGAAGCCAAACCAAAACGCCGGCGTGGTCGACCTCGAAAAAGCGAGACGTCCGCTGCTAGTGAAAAAGAACCTCTGCAGCCGAAGCGCAGACGAGGACGACCGAGGAAAGTCGAAGCTGATGCAATTGTAACCGCTAAGGAGACGCCAAAACGGAAAAGAGGACGGCCGCGCAAGAACGCTCCTACATCACCAAACTAAGATGAAGGGATTAAAGTTTCCTCTAAGGAAATCCACGAAGACAGACCACTCACACGTGCAAAGGACTTCGCATGTATGTTGGTCTGCTGGCCAGCTCAGTCTTGTGCTCCATCAGGCGCATCGTACATGGAACTTGTCAAGACCGCTCGACGACCAGCGGGAGCTTCATTAGGATTGTAGCGTTTGAACGTGAATCCGATGAACTCCTCGGCTGCTGGATCTTTGAGATACGACGGTTTCGTGGCGTCTAGCTCTGGTTTCACACCATGCAATGGTTTGTGATCTTCGAAATATCGAGTATCAGTGGGTCCACGTAGTTCCGGCAAGAACGGTGGCTTCATCGTGCGAAGATTTTCCCAATCCACACCTTCGAAGAAAGGGTGCTCCTTGAAGTCATCCATGCCTCTTTTGGCACCGAGCCGGTACTTTGCGTCGCAAACCAGAGACTGTATGAGGTTCTTGGCTGCCCAACTAATCTTAGCCTCCGGCGGGAAGCGAAGGGTCTGTCGCCAGTTCAAGATTTTTCGACAAGTCTTGATAGCTCCTTCTGCGTAGAATGGCGGATACCCAACCAGCATTTCGTACAGAACAACGCCCAAACTCCAGTAATCACATTCTTTGTTGTACCCACGCTTCATCAGCACTTCGCAAGAGATATAGTCGGGGCTGTTCGAGACATGCCGACACAGGATGCCACGTACAAAGAGCAACGCAAAAGAATTCTGAGTCAGTTGCATGAGAAAGGATGCAAGAGGGATGGTTTTGCGAGAGATATGACTTACGTTCCGACTGTGGAGAAAGCTTGCTTTCGGGCACTTCTTCTCCATGCGGCAGCCCTCTCAGTCATAGAGAGTTCGCTCAGGGTGGAGTGTGGTTCTTGAGCTGTAGGGTTCACGTTTGACGCTGGGAGTGACTCAACGTCAACGTTGAAGCTCTTGCAAAGTCCAAAATCGGACAACTTAAGGTGGCCATCCTTGTCGATGAGGAGGTTGTCCGGTTTGACATCACGATGGATAAAGCCCAACTTATGAATGGTGTCAATAGCAACAACCATCTCAGCAATATAAAACCGTGCATCTTCTTCAGTGAGAGTATCTCTGTCAATGAGCAGAGTCATCAAATCCCCGCCAGCCAGAAACTCCATCACAAGGTAAAGGAACTCACTGTTCTGGAAAGCATAACATAGCTGACAGACAAATTCATGGTTCGCCGCGACAAGGACATGCCTCTCGGACCATGCATGATTAACTTGCTCTTTCTTGAGCATGTCCTTCTTCCTTAACTTCTTCATGGCGTAGTAGTTCTTATCTTTCTTGTGCTTGACAAGCATGACTTCTCCAAAGGCACCCTTTCCGATTATACTAATCATTTCAAAATCAGCTTCGGACATGGGACGTCTACGCTCTCTCAGAAAAGCTATCTCCTGTTTCACGTGTTTCTTCCGCATTTGCTCCTTTTCTGAATCGCCAATAACCATTGAGGCAAGTTTCTCCTCCAGGTCTATCGAACGCTTCTTTGCGGCATCTCTTTCGACAGAAAGTGTCTGAAACAGAGTCTCGATTTTGCGCTTCGCCAGTTCTGCTTTTGAAGAAGGGTGACCTCTGGAACGCGACGAGCTAGCAACGGCAGTGTCCGCCATGGCCGCCTTTTCGGTCTTCTGAGAGGACTCAACAGGTCGGGTGCTGGCCGAGGAAGGCTCCGGCGGGGGCCTAGAGGAGGGCTCACCAGGAGAGGTATGCTCCTGATGCTGGTCAGGGGCTTCGGCGGGGGTGGAAGTGGGAGAGGGCGGTCGGGAGGATTGACGAGAGCGCGGGACGGGGAATAGACGTAGCTTGCGCATTCAGAGCGACCAGGAGGGTGGATGACTGCGTGCGAGTCGTAGGCAGTAGTATGCGGCCGCTTTCCGTGGCTATGCGGGCCGTTTGTCTGAGCGCGTTGGTCCCGGAAATCCTCCGCTGCGCGCCAGTGCGAAGAAATGTGCAGAGTGACGAAGAAAAAAATATGGCTTGGACGCCCTGTCCGATAGCATGGATTCCCTCGCTTCAATCTACACTTCGATCGAGTCCATCCATTGGGACAACAACCTTGTCAGAACCTGAGGCGCCCTAATTTGCAGTGCGCTCAAACAATTGTTTTTCTAAATACACCATGCCTTGCTGGTCCCCAGTCGGATGGTCAATTTCCTTTTCATCTCCCCACCCGGTTTCTTCCTCTCTCCCCCCTTTCCGCCTCTCTCATCGCTCGCTTCTTTGTTCTCTTCTCAAAGCCCTCTTCGCCCATTCTGTGTCACAATTCTTCTGCATCGCACTGCTGTAGTGCAGAAAAACCCTTTCCACTGCCTTCGTGTACATTTCTCCCGAATACATCTTGGTAGTTCAGTGCCGCAATGGTTTCAACTCCCTGTCAGTCCTCATATCCCCCGTATTCAATATCAACGGCAGGCGCAATATGCTTTCTTCCCATTCTTCCTCTGCGGTCCCCCTATCATCTCGCAGCCTCTTCATCCTGCCGAAGAAACCGTTTACCATTGTTCAACGACAAATGGAAATCACGCAGATGGGCTGAACTGAAACCCTTGTCCTCCAGACGCAAAACCATCCGAGTATCCGCCACGTCCCTTTTACCACGCTCGAAAATTCCCATGGCCTTGACATGGGCCCGCGTTGCTGCAATCCCCGTTCTCTGCGTGACAACCTTATCCCCAACGCTGGCCGCCAAACCTTGGCTATCTGCCCTTCTCTTCGCTCTGGCATCTTTCACAGACTTCTTGGACGGCTACCTCGCACGGCGTTGGCACGTCGAGTCGGCATTGGGCGTTTTCCTTGACCCAGTCGCGGATAAGCTTCTGGTTGCGGTCGCTCTCACGATGCTAGTCGCTCGTTTACAAGTCCCGGTACTGTCGCTCGCGGCAGCTGTCATTCTAGCCCGAGAGATTTTTGTTTCCGCACTCAGGGAGTGGATGGCCCAGCTAGGCCTCTCCGTGGTTGTCAAGGTCAGTATTTGGGGAAAGATTAAAACTGCCACCCAAATGCTCGCGCTGACGATACTGTTGTTCTCCGGTGATGGGGGCACCCGCGTTGCGCTCGTTGGGATTAGCCTTGCTGTTGTTTCAGCTATGCTAGCCCTTTTTTCTGCAACAGAGTATGTAGTCGCTGCCTTGCAATCCTACAAGAAAGGTGAGGCTTCGGCGACCTCCTAAGGAACCTGACTAGAACCTTCGCGCACACAATATTCATTCTCACAATGCACGATCTACTACATATGTTTACAATTCGGTATCGCTCGAGTCGAAGCGCACTGTTCGACGACGGCGCAATGTAGGTCGACTTGAGGGCCCTGATAACTGCGAGGAAGGAGCGCCGCCTGAGTCCTCAGGGTGTGATTCTGGCTCCATCGTGATTTCAATTTCGGGGGTTTCCGCTTCGATATCGGCAGACACGATATCCTTCCAAGTAGATGCAAGATCTTGAATTGATTCCTGCGGTCGAAGCGTGTCCAGCGGCTCTTCAGCAAACACGACAGGCGTTCTGAGCGACTGTCCAGGAGCTCGTGCGGCATTGGCGTCCTCAAGCGCGTCGTGTTGGCTCAGAAAGCGACTCAGATCCGTCATTTCAGAGTTTGTTGCAGCGGGTATGTTGGCAAGATTGGGTAGACCAACCTCGTCGGGCGAAGCTTGTACTTCCGATGTAGTGTCCGGTTGGATCGTGGTCGCACGGTCGAAAGCGGTGGTTGCATCCTCTGAAGCAAAAGGATAGGCTAACCCTCCTTGTAAAGACATCTGCGCATGGCGGAGATCGATATCGGGATGGAATGGTTCGTCCCTGCCATCCTCGTCCGGCGCGAACCAGGCAATGGCCATTGACCCTATGTGGAAGACCCAAAGAAGCCACGCAAATGTGATAGTGACACGGCGTTGAATGAGGAGAAATTTTGGATCGACATCTGTCGGCAGTGGACGATAATATGTAATGACGCTTGCCACCGATAGCCAGCCGATAGAAAGCACCATACACATAACTGTTTCCGTGTCATTGCGGTACTTCATATCACATAAAAAGGCAGAAGATAGGCGCTTCCATAGCACATAGAATCCTCCCACCATGCATAAAGCCCCGAGCGAAATCACAGCAGAACAAGCCCCGATTGAATCATTGAAGGCGCATCGAAGACGGTCGATAGACGCATCGTGGAATAAGAGGCCATCAGCGGTGCCAATGGTGACGACAGCTGCGAAAACCAGCTCCAGTACATAGACCACGGGCTTGATAAAAGCGTTCCACTCCAACATTAAGTGGATAGGCTATATTGCTGCGTCGAATCGAGGCAAGCGGCGGAGTTTGCGGTGATGTATTCCGAAACTAGAAGGAAATCAAGCATTCCACGGCGTCTTGCGACGAACACATCACTGCTCTTCTCGCAATGAGATACGATGTAATGTTCGTAGCGGTCTCTCTCCGCTTGGTGAAGCTGCTGGTCAGGTTGTAACGTCAGAACGGCGAAGGGAGAAGCAGCTACGTATGCTGAACGGAGGCAGGCTAAAGCATCCTGGTCCTTTCGGACCGAACAATTCTTAGTATTTTTTACTTATGGATGGAGATACATCCTAAAAGCAACTGAAATATAGGAATCGTCCTTGACGTGGCTTCACTAGGTGCATTGCTGTACTAGACGAACAATTTGGCGCGAAGCTGTGTACTCCCGGTCCGGGAAGGTCTTGTATACCCGACGCAGCAGAAGGACATTCACTGCTAGCAGAGATGCACACGTTAACCCTCCAGCTACAAGTGGGACTCAGCACCAGAAACGAAGCGGTCGCCACCTAGCGTCCAGGGGAGGCTACAACATTTTCTTTCGGCCGTGTCTTTATAGACCCAGAATTGGCTCTACCTGTTCTATCTACAGTACTCAGCTGTAGCACTTGACAAGAGCTACTCTCTCCTAATTTGTATTCTGGAGGGCGAAAAGATGCCACTATCAGAGGAGAGCCTGCGCAGTGTTCACGTACGAATTGAAAAGAACACCGAGCTATCATGGAAGGAGTGCTAGCTAGCCTGCCCGCATTCTTACACTAGAGTTTTGAGCCACTGCGTCGGAGTTTTCACGACTCTCAAAACTAAAATGAAATAAAGCCTGTCCTCTATCACAAAAACGTACGATATTTGTTACCATTCACGATGTTGTCTGATGCCATATGTCGTTTACCAGGCTTCAGTTAAAAGATAGTTTCTATTGTATGAGATATATAATTAGTTCATCAATAAAAAAAAATTCTGCCGGCGTAGGGGTTTCCTTGCCGCTAAACTTCTTGTATGGATCAAAACTTTTCACTCCTTTGCGTCACCGATGCTGATCAGTACTGGGAGCTGATGAGGGTGATGTTGGGAGCTCACCAAAATCAGTACCTATGCCCATCAGGTCGAGGTAAAAGGCGTCAGAAAACAACAAATATGATAGCGGTATTGTTAGGTGAGCATATTTTGAAAAGCGCAGCGTGAAAACTAGCTCCTGTCTTCAAAACTTACCTGCAAGCAGAGCTTTTGGTCCCCCTAACCTCATGGCGGCCTCGCTGAAGCTTGACCACGTGGACCCTAGTAAGACTTTCGTTCTCGAAAGAACAAGCAAGTCTGCCATTGCGTACTGCTCACACTCGCCGCCTCGGTCATCGCAATCCCTATCAAGATAGAAAACCTTGCCTTCAGGAAACAAATTTTGCATAGTACGCAAAACCCCGACAGTGTCACTGGCCACGAAAAACCTGTCCACCGTCCCGCTCTCCAGTAAGTCTTCCATTTCGCTTACAAAGTTTGTGTACTTGGTTGTCGCTCGCCATTTTTTGATTTCTGCGGCGTCATCGTCGTGGTACAATCCGGAGTTGTCCTTCACGCCGACAATGTCGTTTTCCAGCGAGCGATTGCGGATATGGACACCGCCCACATTCTTAAAGTCGCTTCTATTCGTGATTTGCGCCGCTCTTGCAGTGATGTCTGAGTTCACTCTCAAACGTTGCAGTTGCACGTTTTCAGACTCCCATGAGGTAATTGGCGTTTTCATAACAGAATCTGACTTGAAATAAATGCTCTTCTCTTCATCATCAACAATTACTTTCCCATCATTCTCCTCGATCATATAGTTGTAAAACTCAATATCATTCCACGCATCATCATATTGACCACGCGGCTTCAGAGGCCATCGAGCCCCGAGTGAGTCTAAAACAGCAAACTCAGCATGCTTCCCATCAAAAATGTCAGAGAAACTCCCTCCGAAGTGTACATCCTTCTCCCATACAACAATGGGCTCCCTTCTAGTCCGTTCTGCAAAAGACAAACCGCTCGCCAATACCCTCAGCCTATTCCCAAGTCCATTCTGCACATGCACCAGGACAAAACGCACTCGCTGCCCCGTGTGAGTGACCTCATCATACGTACTGTTCCCCTTCCTAATACAGAAATTCCATAGCGCCTTCTCCGCCTGCACTATATCCATGGCCCCGACCAACGCCCAAGGCACGACAAAATCCTGCCTTAGCCTTCTCCCTAGCGCGGTCTTCCATAGCTCGTCTCTCGTCTTCTTTCCTACTAAAGTATGCAGCGCCTTTGGTACATACGTAGCTCTAAGGCCACCTTCACTTCCCCCCTGTCTCTTATAATCCGACTTGCGATAGCCGCTCCCCCAAGGACTGTTAATTTTCTCCAGCAACAAGCTATTCATATCAATTTGGGCACGCGGAAACTTGACGCTCTCTTGCGCGCGCATGTCATCGCTGTGGTGCTCGTGTCTGATCTCGTCATAACTGATATTCATCTTCCGCATGCCGCTTTTCGTAAGGCGCTTGTACAGTTCCTCGTCGTCGTAGCCATACGTCTGGATGCGCTCGTCGTAGCCGCCGACGGCCCAGAAGCGCTTTTTACTGATGACCAAAGCACCATTGAGATGCATTTCGTTGGCGTCGCGGGCGTTCATGTAATAGCCGGTAAAGAAGACGTCCTGTTTCCGCGGAAGCAAATGAGCCTTAACGGCGGTGGGCTTGACGATATAATCACAGTCGAGTTTGAAGACATTGTCAAACCTTGCGTGTCGAAAAGCGAGATTGTACGCTCTCGTGAGGACCCAGTCGCGCTCTCCTTCGACGGGTACGACCTGGACATGCGGTAAATCATCCACGGAACTATTAAAGTTGGCCACAACGCGGTCGACGACGGACTGTAGCGGGGGGTCGGAGGACCAATCGACGACGACGACTTGGCGGGCATTTGGGACCCTGAGCCAGCTCTCAAGCGCCATGGCGAGCGTCTCGTGGCGGTTGTTGCATGCGGCAACGAAGGTATAGGCATCTTGCAGGGCGGTGGAGTGGCGAATATGGGCGGGAGTGATGCGGAGGAAGGGGGAAAGATGGGCAAGAAGAGCGAGGAAGGCGGTGAGTAGGAGGAAATAGATGGCGAAGAGAAGGCGGAGGCAGGAAGGGGTGGAACGCTGCGGAGGGGTACGGGAGGGGAGGAGGGACTGTGAGACGGCGGGGGACGCGGAGGGAGAGGTGCGGCGCGGGACGAGGCGCGAAAGCAACGGAAGATTGAGGGCGTGGCGCAGCCGGTGGAAGGGGGAAGGGGTACGGGGTTTGTGAGCCATAGTGGAATGGCGAAGGGGAAGGGGGGCCGGCAGCAACTGGGCACGTGGACGGAGCAAGCGCGTTGTTGTCGCCGATACCGAAGGAGATTCTGTATCGTCTTGCTGACGGATGCAAGGCTTGCACGAGAGGGGCGTATAGCAGGAGCCGTTGCGTATATTGAGGTTTCGGAGGGCCACTACGTGTACAGTACCCTTCGGGTACCATTTAGGGAACCAGTGCATTGCTGGTCACCTTTGCTGGTCACCTTTTTTGGAACGGCCAACCGCAGCGACGTTCAGCCACCTTTCTGACTTGGTATGCCCCCATGCTACAACGGGGGCACTCAGCGTCATTGTGACGTTCGTCTTGTAAGGCTGCCCCCACTGTTTATAGAGCTCACTTGTCCCAACCAACTCTTTAAGTCCTTTTCGGTTACCTACCCTATCGATTCCCTGGTCTACATACTTCCCCTCAACTCCCATCACTCGTCGTCAACGCACAGCTGCACCACGCTCTCCTCACAATGGGTTGCTGCTTTTCCTCGGACACGGCTGCCGCCACCGCCTCAAACGTCCTTCATGCTGCTGCAAACTACCTCGACACCGGATCCGGTGCGCAACAAGCGCCGCCGCCCGCCGCGGGACAAAAAGTAATCGCTGGCGTGCACGTCTTCAAAATGCCTGACGGCGATACGTTTACGTGTCGCTACCCGTCCGGCGAGACCGTCCGCGTGCGCATCCTGGGCATCGACTGTCCGGAGACGAGGCAAAACTACGGCCGCGAAGCAGGCGATCTCGGCCGCCGCCTCATCAACAATCAAACCGTCACGCTGCACGTCGCCGACACCGACCGCTACGGCCGCGTCGTCGCAGACGTCATCATGCCCAATGGGCAGTCCTTTGGTGAGGCCATGCTGGCCGCCGGCGCCGCCTGGCATTACAAGGCCTACGACAAGCGCCCCAATCTCGCCCAGCTCGAGCTCGAGGCAAGGCAAGACAAGCGCGGATTATGGCAGTTTGCAAGGCCCCAGCCGCCATGGTGTCCGTTTTAATGGGTCTCCAATCGACGGACTACCCCAGTCCATGTCCTTGCAGTCCCAGAGCTGCTGCTTCTTGTCATCTCCGCTTGCGCCCTTCCACCGATGACAGACGTTCCTCTAGCTCTTTCATTTTGAGCGACATGTTCACCTTTTCCTCCAATGTCGACAGCTTGTCCTCAACCCTTTTCACACGATCGTCAAGCTCCTCCACTTTTTTGTTTGATTGACCAGCCCCGCTGACTGCTGCCCCACCAACAGCTCCCATCCCCATTCCAGCTTGCGCGCCACCTCCACCATATCCTCCTTGACCCATCCCACCCCCTCGCCCCATCATTCCCTGACCCATCCCTCCTCCCATCCCGCCCATCCCGCCGCCCATCCCGCCCATTCCACCTCCCATTCCACCCATCCCGCCCATCCCACCCATCATATTCCCCATACCTCCACCACTTCCGCCCGCCGGCGCAAGTCCAATACCGAACCCAAATCCAGCCCCCACACCACATCCGACACCAGTCTTCGAGCCGGGAAACTTTCTCGTGATTGTCTTTAGAACATTCATAATCTGGTAACCCCCCGGCAGCTGTCGCAAGAAATCGAGGCTGCCAGCTTCCCCGCCCAACGGCACCATCGGTCCACGAATGACCCCCACGCCACATCCCACTCCTACACCAGGCCCAATGCCGCTGCGCAGGCACACGGGCCCCAAACAGAAGAAGGTGCGAGAAAAGGCAGACATCAACTTGCTGGGGTTGATCTCTCGTCCCCCAATGCGGATGGGCGCCATAGCACTGGCCCCCCCAGCCGCCGCACCTGGCATTCCCGTATTTGCTGGCGTTTGCATCACAGGCTTTAGGTCGGGACCAAGAAACTGGATTGGGTGTGGGGCGTGAAAACTTCGAAAGCCAGGCTTGAGACCGGCGTGGTTGAGGTTACGCAGTGAGCAGTCGCCCATGAAGAAGGGCAAGATCAAAGGGATATTACGGGTTTGAAACGAACCGATTTTCCAGCTATTCTGAGCTCAAGGGCTTGGAAAGTAATGAAAAAACACGCAAATTGGGAAATAAATCTGTCACAATCTGCTCACATCCGCTTGCCGCTATTCAGCCTTCGCCATCAAAGAGGCGGCTGTACTGGTAATGAATCTGCTCTATCCGCAACTCGCCGTCGCCAAAAATCAACGACTTCTCAGCTGAGACGAAGCCCTCTCATCTTAAACAAGATGCCTCTTTCAGCTGACCCTAGTGCACCCGAAACAGAGGACCTTGCTGGTTATGGCGCTGTCACCAAGACCATCCTTGAACCAGGCACGGGCGACGACGCCGGTCGAAATGCAAAAGTCGGCGTTCGGTATAGTCTCCGACTATCCGAGGATGACACTATGGAGCCTTTCGATTCCTCGGCGACGCGACCGGAAGGCGTCCTAAGCTTTTCCCTCGGACGAGGCAAGGTTATTCCTGCATTGGAGTTGGTTGCACGCTCGATGAAGGTTGGAGAGAAGTGCAAGGCTCGCACAACGGCGCCATACGCGTTCGGAGAGCGAGGGCTTAAGCGAAAGGGTGTCCCACCGAATGCTGTGGTGTACATGGAGGTGGAAATGGTCACGTGTGAGGGGGGTGAGAAGAAGAAACCATTGGCGGATATGTCACCCAAGGAGAGATTTGACGAGGCGAAGACATACAAGGAGCATGGCAACAATTTCTTTAAGGAGCAAAGATATGAGAAGGCACTCGACCAATATGGCCGAAGCATTCGCTTACTTGCGGATGTGTTCTACAAGCCGGCCTCATCGCTTCCGAGCGTAAATGAGTCTCCGGTTACTGAAAAATCTGCAGAAGTCGCACAAGAAAGTACTGACGCAAAAGACGAAGAAGGTTTTGAAGAAGCTGAGGTTCTGGACGCGGACGCAAATGGGCAAACGCCCCCAGTAGAAACTGAGGACGCTCCCGATGCAAACGGCGTTTCCTCTGAGCAATTGACACAACAGTCCACACTTGAATCGAACGCAGAGCGAAGAGAAGGCACTGAACAACTCGACGTAGAAAGAAATGCTATCTCTGAGGAATCTGTCCCTGGGGAGACAAAGGTAGATGAGCCTCCAGCGAATGGGTTGAGAATCGAGAAAGAAGGCGAAAATCATCAGGACCATATAATCACCGCCATTGAAGAAGAGGAAGAGGTAATCGAAACGATCGACGTCAGCACGGTCACTTCAAGCACACCAGAAGACGCGGACAGCAGACCGAGCGAAGCCACGACCAACAAAGAAACGGAGTCCCCAATTGAAGCTGAAGGTCAGTCTACAGTGGAACCTGAAACAACATCTGGTGCGCCATCCGACAGTGCGGCTATCACGGTGGAATCAGACGATCCTGAAGAGGACGAAGTGCGGGCGCTTCACGTGACAACTTTAAACAACTTGTCTCTCTGTCATGTCAAGCTTGAAGACTACAAGCGGGCGGTAGAAAGCACCTCGGTAGCCCTGAGGATAGATCCTCAGAGTTCGAAAGCTTTGTACTACAGGTATGGAAATTTCCTTTTTTTCTGATTATGAACAACACAGAAGGTATGCATTTCTAACAATTTCATGTTGTGTCTATGTTCATCTGCGTTACACTTTCGGAATTACCAAATCGCTTTATGTTTTGAATACAGGGGTCGAGCAAAGATTGCTCTCGGGGATTGGGATGATGCGCGAGTTGATCTGGAAGCGGCTAACGAGATTCAACCGCACAATCAAGGAATACGCAACGAAATCATAAAGCTTGATCGGAAAGTCAAACTATTTGCGGAGCGAGAAAAGAAGAGGGCTGCTGCGATGTTTGAATTGCCCTAGGGGCATTCAAAGAAGCCAGTGACGAGGAGTAAAAGTGAAACGGCAGTATCGCCAGGGCCGGTTGCACATCTTTAAAGATCCATCAGAAGCCCTTCGAGATTGACCTGCATTACTGGTCCGCGGTTGTAGCTATGACCCTGTATAGCGATATGCGTGGTTCAACAACCATTCATCCTAAACGCCATGCGGCGCTGGCGAGGTCACTGTGCTTGCTGCTGTGGCGCTTTCGATTTCTGCCATTTTTTCTCCCTGCAATCGCTTCATCAATGCTTCCCGTCCCTCACGAATGATGGCAGCATTTTCCTTCAGGATCTTCAAACGTTTTCGGTCGTTGCGTTTCCGCGTCTGCGTGTACTTGATGTCCACGGGGAAGCGGTTTCGCCCATCCAGCACGACTCGCGTCGCCCTTAGAACGCCCCGGAGCATACTTGAACCTTGGCTTGAGCTCTCCTTTTGAACTCTGACAATGCTCACCAAATTCGGGGGGTAATTACGAGGTACATTTGAGTAGTCCCACTTGTTTTCAGATCCTCTTGAACAGCGAATCTGTCGCCAACGTGGGAGAACTGTAAAATACGTACATTACAGTTTCCAACAGATGTCGAGAATGGAAAAGATGAGAAAAAAAGGGGTAAATTTAAAAATTGGAAGAACCCTAATATCTCGATAGAACCTGAATACAAAGCCATCGCAAATGCTATTTCCGTGCCTCCGCGATCACAGTCCTCTGAGTCCGCCTTCTTCGTGCCGGACTCGTGGTCTGTTGTCAGTGAAATGGGGGAGGCGGTTTTGGGGAGCGTGCCGTTCCGTGGTGAGGGTCGGCCGAGTCGTCTTCTCCCCCCCTTTTTCCCCGCAGCGCCCGTCACCCTCTCTCCTTTATTTCTACGAAATTCCTTCCAGAAACGTCCACGCGTCCGGCCCGGATTCCGCCGGGCCGTACGCGTGCGGGTTCTCCCTGGGTGTAAATAAAGTTTTTTATCATACGCGATATGCACCGTGATTTTAATACAATTCTCAATAAACTCAATTACAGTAGGGGCAAAAGTAGCCATTGAATTTCTTGAAAAACTCAAAGTATTGCAACCTATCACAGCACTCCGTCTGTCCAGTCCAAATATCCGTCAACAAGTAAACATTTACTTGCCGTTGGGTAAACATTGACCACCCGTCAACAAGTAAACATTACTTGCCACTGGGTAAACATTGACCACCCATCAACAAGTAAACATTTATTAGTTAACATTTATGTGCCCTTGAGCATATCAATATGCGAATGCCCTTTCTGCATGTGCAGAGGCGTTCTTTGAATATACGCACTGCACTTGATTTCCAAGACGAGATAAATTGGCCTGGTTCGGCAGAGAAAAAGCGAGATGTTCTACGGTACATCATGCAAATATATTTTGTTTTCACATTATTTATGGGTGTGATCTGCAACGACCAATTTTATTCCATGCGTGAAGCTGTTACAGAGCAGTCTGGGTGAATGGAATGAAGTCACTCAAAAGTGAGAAGGGATAGCGCCTGAATAAGTTTAATATACGTAGTGAGACTTCAAGATACTGAGTGTTTTAGTAAGGCGACATTACGAGCACGTCAGAAGCCGGTAGGGAGAAATTCATCTATGATGTCCTCTGGATGGGACGGCATTTCTTAGGGCAACGGAAAAGGTGATCCCTAAGTCAACTCCGTCAAACACATTACTTCGGATGTCATCCTATACTGTACTCTCATTATGAGTTTCGAATACCAAAAAGGGGATTTGCAACTCATTATGAGTCTCTAATCCCCGAAACAGGGACCACCAAACAGAAGGGATTCGAAACTCATAATAAGGTTGACACCACATACCCCGTGGAAATAAGCTTTTACTTGCCGCTCATTAAACATTAAACACTTCAACAAAGGTACCATGAAAACATGTGGCTTTAAAGTTATGGTAGTAGTACAAACCATACAAGGCGTTCTATACTCAAAATTGTAGTTGAGTTAAACGGTTAATAGGTATAAGTTCCAGTAACAAAGTTTGCAACGCTTGCAGTTCCCTCCGTACTCACGAGAGGAGATACGGGACTCAATGGGATAACACAGATAGATTCAACACATAACTTTTTTACCATTTTACTTTCGTGCCTGCTTACCGATCTCTATCAGAAGCGTAAACATTAATAATGTCAACCACCGGTTCATTATTTTTTAAGCCTTGAACGTTCCTTATATCTTCGCCACTCGTTTGGATTTTCAAAAACAACGTCGAGATAGTTTTGCGCAGGACAAGATCCTGTGTCACTTCCTTGCCGGAAATTAACACAAATTCTTGTGATGACATTCTGACTTTCTTCATTAGGCAACTCAGAATCCCAATTGGGGCATGAAATGCTGGCATTGCATTTCAACTTTCATTGTCAGATCTCTAAGCTTTCCCATCTGTACAAATAAGGAAATACGCTCTTCTAGATATGTTTCCCATGTCTTAGGGACTGGTCGCCATTTTTGCACTATCCCTGGGGCTCCTTGTGAAGCAGTCGGAGTCCTGATGTATTGACAATACTCACTGCAGATTTGTTTGCACTGAGAAGAACAAATGCCGTGCGAAATGCTTCGCAGACTGCTTTTTAAAGGCACTACCATCCCTTTATTCCCTCCTTTCGGAAAGATGCTGCTCAAACGTTTCACTATTTCCGTGGCTTGTCTTACTAAATGAAGATGGTACCAGCACACAATTTGAATCCGAGGCCTTTTTATCACCGCTTTGCATGCTTTTCCTGTTCTCTAGAAAGGGAACGCTCCCATCCTAGTTTTCGTTAGCTTTGAAGCGATAAACCATTTTATTTAATTCCTGACGACTTTTCTGACCGCAGATTACATGCAGAACGCCCTTCTCACTTGTTTCGAGCATGAAAATATCGAGAGAACTATGATATTGCAGGCTCTCTGTCATCGTTCTTAAACAAAAATCGTACATGACACACGAACGCAGACCCTCTCACCATCCCTCTGACAAAATTCTTTGGAAGCCACTTGGTCTCCTTCACGTCCATGACGGAATACGTTTGTGACTTGTCATGAAATGATGATGACAGTGTATAAGTTCTAACATCAAACGGGATATATGAGACTCTGGTCTTCTCTTTGGAAAGTATGTGAATCAGTAAGATTAATGACTTCCTCTAGCTCATTCGCTGTTGCGGAATTGTTAATGATCATCTTGTTCGATCCGCAAAAAGCTGACTTTACAAATCAGTGAGACTACAATTTTCTGAAGATAGGGATTCAAATGTAAATCTTCTCCGCATCTAAGTAGTTCTCGTAAGCAAAAAACATATTAAAATGCTCTCAAAGAAACGGCTACACTTAACCAAGAACCACAACACGTAACTTCACAGGTGAGTACATGAACTGTCTATTCTACGATCAAGAGTTCAGACTCAGAATGAAAATTCACTCAAAGCAAATGCATACTGCGCATGCTTCGAGATCATCATCATTCCCCTGAACCGCCTCTTAGGGGCGCCTTAGGGTCGGAGAAGGTACTGTACTGTGCCTACGTAATGTATTCTCATTTTCAGTTTCGAGTACCAAAAAAATGGGACTCGAAACTCATTATGAGATTCGAACCCCCAAAAAAGGGACTCGAAACTCAAAATGAGAACTGCCGCGAAGCATGACCAGGGGGCGCTTCAGGGGTGGAGCAGGTACTGCACTGCGCATACGTACAGTATTCTCATTTTGAGTTTCGAGTACCAATTGCATCCGCTTATCCCGGCGCCTCGCTCTATGTCATACTTCGCCTGTGCCTGTGCCACCGCCGGCGCCTAGCACGAGGTCTTCAGACAAAGCCTGCGACTCCCAGTTGCGCGTCAGAAAGGGGGTCCCGGATGATCGGTATTCCTCACGACACGCCGAGATAAGGTACGACTTCCCTTCAGATAGTTTTCGTAGGTAGGGGCCTGGCTTTTTTACCCGATTTTCCGGATTTTACGTATTTTTACCACCTGGGATGGTGGTGGTTTGCAGGCTTCGTCCCACTTTGAAAAAGTGTTCGGGCGAGCAGTCGAGATTTGCTGGTCATGGTTCGCGAACCATGACCAGCAAATTATAAACGTCTGTAATTTTATCAAAAAATAACAGTCCAGATTTTCTAGTCATGGTTCGCGAACTATGACCAGCAAATCCCGATTGTTCGCCCGAACACTTTTCCGAAGCATACCCTTTTCTTCACTACGCCGTCTCTAACAGCCCATCCAGTTCTTAGTTTTCCAGACTTCGTGTCGGAAAATAATCACCATTGAATTATGACTTCCGCTCCTGTCCGCTTCGCCCAGTTGTGTCTCACTCACTTGTTTCACATTCCGAGAAACGAGAACTTCAGAACAAATTTCAACCTTCACGAATCCAAGACGTCTGATGTACTACGCTGGATACACAAGCAAGATGATGACAGCGCGGTCAAAGCACTAAAGGCGTTACTGCTGAACAAAAATAGGAAGCGAAGAGATCCCGGAAATTTTCGATCTTTATTCAACGACGGACCACCTATTCTCAGAGAGCTCGGCAAAGAACAGGTGAAGCAAATCTTCAAATCTGCAGTTTCCTTTGTCATGTACGGGGAGAAAGACTCTCGAATCTTCGAACTTTTCGAGATGCTCTTCGCGACGGGTAAGATCAGCCCCTCGTTAGTGGTTGGGAGCAAGTATATTCCAGCCAATGGCAACAGATATGCTGTGCCAAGTTCGTCTAAGTTTTACTTCGCTACCAAGCCTCCTGATACATTCGAGGTTATTATCTACATTCACGCCTTGAAAGTTGCTGTGGACTACTTTCAGAGAGAACGGAAACGCCGGAACAAGATTTCGAGTCCGTTTCGGATAAGCTATACCTGCGGAAATCGTCTGGGCTTCGCCGTTCAACTCATTGTAAAGGCGTGGACATCCTTGGCGAAGAAGATAGGCTTCGAGAGCTGCGAGTCAATGATTTCCCCGTACGTTCTCTTCAAGGAATCAAGTGGAACCTTTGTGGTTCTCGGTGAGAGCGACCGCTGCTTTGCGCCTACGTCACAGAGCGATACATTCCCGGGACACCGGAACGCCACAATGGATTTGAAGCATGCGGATCCTACTGCTTGGAAGAGGACCAAGGAGCAAGATTACGCGTTTAGGGAACTCACTGCTATGCTATTTCACCACTTGAAAGAGGTTTCTACGCATGAGTACCTATACGAATGTGCGGAAGACACGGACTAGGAATTTGTCAAGAAGTACAAGTGCGAGAAGAAACACATCGCTGCTCCCGTTTTCGCTTCCTTATCTGCACCTACAAAAGCAGCGATAGGGTATGTTGACAATCGTGTCACAGCTATTGACGTCGATTCTATGGGCAATACTGAAGACACCGTTGATATAGGCGCAATGGAAGCATCGCAGGACGAAGGTGAAGAAGGAGTTATCAAGGAAGAAGATAATAGGGTCCCTATGGATCGTCAGGATACCAGACCAGAAAAGCGTCATAAAACGTCTGTAACAAGGGGTGAAGAGCGGTATCAGTTCGCCTACGGCAGGGTCATGAAGACGATGAGTCCTTTCTGCAGTATTCACGACGTCCCAATGACCGATGTCCCTGAGACAGATGCCGAAGAGAGTGGCTTCTACCTAGATGGAAAGGTGCAACTCATCTTGACAGACCCTCCCTATAACACGCGCAGGGAGGTGGAATCTCCCAACTCCAGCCATGACAAGCTTTCCGGATCTGACATGTCGGAGTGTGTTGCTATCTTCGACCCTGTTCTCAAACCGGGTGGACACAGGATTGTCTTTTGCTCAGCCCTCCAGTTCGCAGAGTGGTATTTCATGCTTGTAGCATAAACACCCCCAGACGACTGGAGGTGTATGCGCAGTTCGACCTGTAGACCCCGGATCGGAGAAGGGGTGAAGCGGGCCAACCAGCTACGGAACCGGGCTCGGGCCCGGGTAGCGGTGGTAGAGCGGGAGCGAGCAGGGACGCGCGCACGCACGAGCGGATCGACGCCTCGACGCCCCGGAGCAGCACTGGGTGA